CGCCTTGTTGAGTTTTTCAATATTACTGAGGGAAAAAACTCATGTTAGGCATCCAGATGATGTTGAGGAAAAATTCGATGCCTCTCTCCCCTTTTCCCTTTGCCCTTCCCGCTCCCCGATGTTACTGAGACGCAGCATACTTCAGGGCTTTCGGTCTTGAGCTATTGGTTTCTGGCTCCCGTAAAGATAAGGGGACATTAGTTTGCCCGGATCTAGCCATTCTCACTATTCACATACCTCGTTGCCCTCCTTCATTATCTTCTCCTACCCCTCCCCGCGCTCCTCAAATTTTTATCTCGGGGAAATTCTGAGGTGAATTAATACTGAACTTAGCTTCTCCTAACCCGCTCTCGCGATTCTCTCCCATCAATTCGTCTGAATAAATCAAGGTGAATCATCAGTGACCTTAACCAATGCTTTCTTTCGATTCTGTTAAATTCTATTTCTATTTTTGATGAACTCCGCAACTTCTCCTGGTCTCATCAAAGCATTTCTTCTCCTTTTTCCAGGCATCCGGTCGGAAGTGGCAAACATAGTTTGACTGAACCGAACGACGAAGAAAGCACGGGAGGGAGGTGGATGAGGTGTGCCAGTGATGGCTTTATGTTCACTGGCCGTGCTCTGTTCCTGGGCTCTTCTTTCGTCCTCTTCAGGCTTCTGGTTGCTTAGGCCTAGCTACGGAACTCGTGCTGTTCCCGTTGTGTCCTGCTCCTGTCCACACACTCTCACTCACCGGCCTATATTCCTCTTATTCCCGCTACAACTATTCCTTCTTCAGATGCTAGTTAGCCTGATAGATTGCTTACATTCTTTCGCCACTCTTTTTTTTGCAAGCAACATTAAAATAGAGGCTGTTCTGTGCATGTTTCACGTCTCTCAAACATCTTCAGCAACATATTCGTGTCTGTCCGCCGTTTTGGTCACTTGTCTATCTCTTGTTTGTCCAGAACTTTTAATCAAATTTATTATGCCCGCGCTTGGTTGTTACTTTCATGCTCGAGTTTGTATCTCCGCCACTTTTTACTGTCTTTTCATCATCATTCCAGCATGTTTTGTTACGTCTGCCCGGCGCCTTCAGTGGTCTGCATCTATCCAGAAAGCTTCATTTACTGAGTACAATTATCTATTTAAGCAAACAGACGCGTGTAAAATGCAGAGGTACGGATTTGAAGGGTATTAAAATCTTCAACTGTTGAAAAAAAATTAACGGATGCACTTGTTTTTTTACTCATTCCATCGAATTTTATTTCTTTTTCACGTTAATAAATTTCTGTTCTATGATTCATTAAGCTTTCTAAATGACTGTCTAAAACGCTAAACTGTGAGCAATTGCCACGAATTTGATACTGCAAAACCTATCCTTATAGCAAAATGTTCGATTGTGAATTATTTGTGCTGGACCGAACAAGCTTCCAAAAGTATAAAGCAGTTTTAGCCGGAATAACAATAATTTCGACCACCAAGTGATTTTGAATTGTTAGCTCGGAGAAGCATGAGCAAGAGATATGCCGCTCTGTAACAACTTTTGATATTTTTTTGGGGGGTTTTTGCTCGTTTCGAAAGAATCTTGTTTTCAGAGACTTGGTTCGTAATTTTGAAGCAATATTAATTCCTGAGCGGGTATGTATAAATGCCTACTGTAATATCGAGGGAATCCTATACCTTCCTCATTCGAGATTTTTTGGCGGCAAATTGATTGCATTTTTAATTTCCTGGCGTATGCCCGTACCAATTTACGGCAATTACTAAAACTCGGCTCGGCTCGGCTCGGCACGGCTCGGCTCGGCTCGGCTCGGCTG